GCCACCAACTTCTGATAATTTGACACGCACATTAATTTCGGAAATAATGATTATATCATTAAACCGTCTTCATTACTGATTGAAATATAGATTTAAAATGAAAATAAGTTAATGATATATAGTCAAAAAGAGCAATTGAGCAATGATGATGGCTGCTGCCATTAATGCCAGTTTTTCTTTATAGATATTTTGAAAAAAAAAAAAAATTACAGTAGCAAATTTTTTAAGTTTTATATTTCGTAACAATATTTTTGAACTTATTTTGTTTTTGTTTCAGATACCAGCCCCAGGATATTTACGTCAGGACAGGTAACATATGCATTGGAAAGTAAGTATATATTTTTTTTATTTATTAATAGTTGTCTGATAGATATTAAAATAATTTGAATATGTATTACAGATAGACGGGAGACCAGAGAGAAGAAGAACGTACAGTCCTAGACATGGAGATGATATAATTGTTGATGCCTAGATGATGATGTAGGTATTTTGTCATTACAATTGTACTTAAACTGTTAATAGTTGTAAGGTAATAAAATCAGTTTTCCCTGGAGAAACAGCTTGAAAATTTATTACAAATTAGTCCAAAATTTCTTTTTCAAATTTATACTCTAATGAAATATATTTTAATAAGAAAGTATACTTAGTATTCTCGTTTGAATTGTTTTACATTGTCATTTCGGGGCCTTTAATAGCTGACTGTGCAGTATGGGCTTTGCTCATTGTTGAAGGCCGTACGGTGACCTATAGTTGTTAATTTCTGTGTCATTTGGTCTCTTGTGGAGAGTTGTCTTATTGGCAATCATACCACATCTTCTTTTTTATTTGTACTCCAATTTAGGATTTGAATTAAAACATGCATCACATTAATTTCTGAATTAATTATAACTGCAAATATTCTTTTAAAGAAAGTATACTTAGTATGCATCACATTAATTTCTGAATTAATTATAACTGCAAATATTCTCTTAAAGAAAGTATACTTAGTATTCTCGTTTGAATTGTTTTACATTGTCATTTCGGGGCCTTTTATAGCTGACTGTGCAGTATGGGCTTTGCTCATTGTTGAAGGCCGTACGGTGACCTATAGTTGTTAATTTCTGTGTCATTTGGTCTCTTGTGGAGAGTTGTCTCATTGCCAATCATACCACATCTTCTTTTTTATTTGTACTCCAATTTAGGATTTGAATTAAAACATGCATCACATTAATTTCTGAATTATTTATAACAGCAAATATTCTCTTAACATTGACAATTTGGAAACCCTTTCTCTAATAGTCTCACCTGAACGAAAGTAAAGTTTCCGATTGTCAATTTGGATATCTACATATTTAGTCGATTTTTTTAAAGTAATTTGGAAAATAAGACTTGATTTAGATTGTTTGAAATTCAGTTGAATTTTAATCATTTCTGTTCAAAATGTATACATCAGATTGTTTTGGTTAGCCACCAACTTCTGATAATTTGACACGTACATTAATTTCGGAAATAATGATTATTTCATTAAACCGTCTTCATTACTGATTGAAATATAGATTTAAAATGAAAATAAGTAAATGATATATAGTCAAAAAGAGCAATTGAGCAATGATGATGGCTGCTGCCATTAATGCCAGTTTTTCTTTATAGATATTTTGAAAGAAAATTAAAATTAAAGTAGCAAATTGTTTAAGTTTTATATTTGGTAATAATATTTTTGAACTTATTTTGTTTTTGTTTCAGATACCAGCCCCAGGATATTTACGTCAGGACAGGTAACATATGCATCGGAAAGTAAGTATATATTTTTTTTATTTATTAATAGTTGTCTGATAGATATTAAAATAATTTGAATATGTATTACAGATAGACGGGAGACCAGAGAGAAGAAGAACGTACAGTCCTAGACATGGAGATGATATAATTGTTGATGCCTAGATGATGATGTAGGTATTTTGTCATTACAATTGTACTTAAAACTGTTAATAGTTGTAAGGTAATAAAATCAGTTTTCCCTGGAGAAACAGCTTGAAAATTTATTACAAATTAGTCCAAAATTTCTTTTTCAAATTTATACTCTAATGAAATATATTTTGATAAGAAAGTATACTTAGTATTCTCGTTTGAATTGTTTTACATTGTCATTTCGGGGCCTTTAATAGCTGACTGTGCAGTATGGGCTTTGCTCATTATTGAAGGCCGTACGGTGACCTATAGTTGTTAATTTCTGTGTCATTTGGTCTCTTGTGGAGAGTTGTCTCATTGGCAATCATACCACATCTTCTTTTTTATTTGTACTCCAATTTAGGATTTGAATTAAAACATACATCACATTAATTTCTGAATTAATTATAACTGCAAATATTCTCTTAAAGAAAGTATACTTAGTATGCATCACATTAATTTCTGAATTAATTATAACTGCAAATATTCTCTTAAAGAAAGTATACTTAGTATTCTCGTTTGAATTGTTTTACATTGTCATTTCGGGGCCTTTTATAGCTGACTGTGCAGTATGGGCTTTGCTCATTGTTGAAGGCCGTACGGTGACCTATAGTTGTTAATTTCTGTGTCATTTGGTCTCTTGTGGAGAGTTGTCTCATTGCCAATCATACCACATCTTCTTTTTTATTTGTACTCCAATTTAGGATTTGAATTAAAACATGCATCACATTAATTTCTGAATTATTTATAACAGCAAATATTCTCTTAACATTGACAATTTGGAAACCCTTTCTCTAATAGTCTCACCTGAACGAAAGTAAAGTTTCCGATTGTCAATTTGGATATCTACATATTTAGTCGATTTTTTTAAAGTAATTTGGAAAATATGACTTGATTTAGATTGTTTGAAATTCAGTTGAATTTTAATCATTTCTGTTCAAAATGTATACATCAGATTGTTTTGGTTAGCCACCAACTTCTGATAATTTGACACGCACATTAATTTCGGAAATAATGATTATATCATTAAACCGTCTTCATTACTGATTGAAATATAGATTTAAAATGAAAATAAGTTAATGATATATAGTCAAAAAGAGCAATTGAGCAATGATGATGGCTGCTGCCATTAATGCCAGTTTTTCTTTATAGATATTTTGAAAGAAAGAAAAAATTAGAGTAGCAAATTTTTTAAGTTTTATATTTGGTAACAATATTTTTGAACTTATTTTGTTTTTGTTTCAGACACCAGCCCCAGGATATTTACGTCAGGACAGGTAACATATGCATCGGAAAGTAAGTATATATTTTTTTTATTTATTAATAGTTGTCTGATAGATATTAAAATAATTTGAATATGTATTACAGATAGACGGGAGACCAGAGAGAAGAAGAAAGTACAGTCCTAGACATGGAGATGATATAATTGTTGATGCCTAGATGATGATGTAGGTATTTTGTCATTACAATTGTACTTTAACTGTTAATAGTTGTAAGGTAATAAAATCAGTTTTCCCTGGAGAAACAGCTTGAAAATTTATTACAAATTAGTCCAAAATTTCTTTTTCAAATTTATACTCTAATGAAATATATTTTAATAAGAAAGTATACTTAGTATTCTCGTTTGAATTGTTTTACATTGTCATTTCGGGGCCTTTAATAGCTGACTGTGCAGTATGGGCTTTGCTCATTGTTGAAGGCCGTACAGTGACCTATAGTTGTTAATTTCTGTGTCAATTGGTCTCTTGTGGGGAGTTGTCTCATTGGCAATCATACCACATCTTTTTTTTTATTTGTACACCAATTTAGGATTTGAATTAAATTGTGCATCACATTAATTTCTGAATTAATTATAACTGCAAATATTCTCTTAAAGAAAGTATACTTAGTATGCATCACATTAATTTCTGAATTAATTATAACTGCAAATATTCTCTTAAAGAAAGTATACTTCGTATGCATTACATTAATTTCTGAATTAATTATAACTGCAAATATTCTCTTAAAGAAAGTATACTTAGTATTCTCGTTTGAATTGTTTTACATTGTCATTTCGGGGCCTTTTATAGCTGACTGTGCAGTATGGGCTTTGCTCATTGTTGAAGGCCGTACGGTGACCTATAGTTGTTAATTTCTGTGTCATTTGGTCTCTTGTGGAGAGTTGTCTCATTGGCAATCATACCACATCTTTTTTATTTGTACTCCAATTTAGGATTTGAATTAAAACATGCATCACATTAATTTCTGAATTAATTATAACTGCAAATATTCTCTTAAAGAAAGTATACTTAGTATGCATCACATTAATTTCTGAATTAATTATAACTGCAAATATTCTCTTAAAGAAAGTATACTTAGTATTCTCGTTTGAATTGTTTTACATTGTCATTTCGGGGCCTTTTATAGCTGACTGTGCAGTATGGGCTTTGCTCATTGTTGAAGGCCGTACGATGACCTATAGTTGTTAATTTCTGTGTCATTTGGTCTCTTGTGGAGAGTTGTCTCATTGCCAATCATACCACATCTTCTTTTTTATTTGTACTCCAATTTAGGATTTGAATTAAAACATGCATCACATTAATTTCTGAATTAATTATAACAGCAAATATTCTCTTAACATTGACAATTTGGAAACCCTTTCTCTAATAGTCTCACCTGAACGAAAGTAAAGTTTCCGATTGTCAATTTGGATATCTACATATTTAGTCGATTTTTTTAAAGTAATTTGGAAAATATGACTTAATTTAGATTGTTTGAAATTCAATTGAATTTTAATCATTTCTGTTCAAAATGTATACATCAGATTGTTTTGGTTAGCCACCAACTTCTGATAATTTGACACACACATTAATTTCGGAAATAATGATTATATCATTAAACCGTCTTCATTACTGATTAAAATATAGATTTAAAATGAAAATAAGTTAATGATATATAGTCAAAAAGAGCAATTGAGCAATGATGATGGCTGCTGCCATTAATGCCAGTTTTTCTTTATAGATATTTTGAAAGAAAAAAAAAATTAAAGTAGCAAATTTTTTAAGTTTTATATTTGGTAACAATATTTTTGAACTTATTTTGTTTTTGTTTCAGATACCAGCCCCAGGATATTTACGTCAGGACAGGTAACATATGCATCGGAAAGTAAGTATATATTTTTTTTATTTATTAATAGTTGTCTGATAGATATTAAAATAATTTGAATATGTATTACAGATAGACAGGAGACCAGAGAGAAGAAGAAAGTACAGTCCTAGACATGGAGATGATATAATTGTTGATGCCTAGATGATGATGTAGGTATTTTGTCATTACAATTGTACTTAAACTGTTAATAGTTGTAAGGTAATAAAATCAGTTTTCCCTGGAGAAACAGCTTGAAAATTTATTACAAATTAGTCCAAAATTTCTTTTTCAAATTTATACTCTAATGAAATATATTTTAATAAGAAAGTATACTTAGTATTCTCGTTTGAATTGTTTTACATTGTCATTTCGGGGCCTTTAATAGCTGACTGTGCAGTATGGGCTTTGCTCATTGTTGAAGGCCGTACGGTGACCTATAGTTGTTAATTTCTGTGTCATTTGGTCTCTTGTGGAGAGTTGTCTCATTGGCAATCATACCACATCTTCTTTTTTATTTGTACTCCAATTTAGGATTTGAATTAAAACATACATCACATTAATTTCTGAATTAATTATAACTGCAAATATTCTCTTAAAGAAATTATACTTAGTATGAATCACATTAATTTCTGAATTAATTATAACTGCAAATATTCTCTTAAAGAAAGTATACTTAGTATTCTCGTTTGAATTGTTTTACATTGTCATTTCGGGGCCTTTTATAGCTGACTGTGCAGTATGGGCTTTGCTCATTGTTGAAGGCCGTACGATGACCTATAGTTGTTAATTTCTGTGTCATTTGGTCTCTTGTGGAGAGTTGTCTCATTGCTAATCATACCACATCTTCTTTTTTATTTGTACTCCAATTTAGGATTTGAATTAAAACATGCATCACATTAATTTCTGAATTAATTATAACAGCAAATATTCTCTTAACATTGACAATTTGGAAACCCTTTCTCTAATAGTCTCACCTGAACGAAAGTAAAGTTTCCGATTGTCAATTTGGATATCTAGATATTTAGTCGATTTTTTTAAAGTAATTTGGAAAATATGACTTAATTTAGATTGTTTGAAATTCAATTGAATTTTAATCATTTGTTAGGTCATTAAAATCAGTTTTTCCCTGGAAATTTACATATTCATCTGCATTTTTCTATAAGTAATTGGGAAAATATGACCTGATTTAGATTGTTTGAAATTCAGTTGAATTTTAATCATTTCTGTTCAAGTGTATACATCAGATTGTTTTGAATAGCCACCAATTTGTGATAATTTGATGCACACATTAATTTCGAAAATAATGATTATATCATTAAACCGTCTTCATTACTGATTAAAATAAAGATTTAAAATGAAAATAGTTAATGATATATAGTTAAAAAGAGCAATTGACCAATGATGTTGGCTGCCATTAGTGCCAGTTTTTTCTTTCTAAATATTTTGAAAAAAGTTTTATTTTTTAAATAAGCAAACTTTATTAAAAGTTTTATATTTGGTTTGATATTTTTGAACTGTCTTTTTTTTTTTGCTCACTGTTGAATATATGTAAATTTTATTTGAGTTTATCAGCATCTGTCTATAAATAATTTTGTCTTTGTTTCAGATACTATGAAGATGTTTACAGCAAAGACCCCTAAAATGGAGCCATTGACTAAGACCAGGACAAGAAAATTAAAGGAAAGTATATTTAATTTTAGTCTAATTATAATTTTAGTTCTATTACAGTAGCAGGCCTTACCAAGTTCCAGTCAGTCACAGAACATGAAGATTGTTTCATTGAAGATTGGAAATGAGTAGCATGTAAGTATTTGGTTATACAATTGTACTTAAAACTATGTTCATATTTGTTAGGTCATTAAAATCAGTTTTTCCCTGGAAATTTACATATTTATCTGCATTTTTTTACAAGTAATTTGGAAAATATGACCTGATTTAGATTGTTTGAAATTCAGTTGAATTTTAATCATTTCTGTTCAAGTGTATACATCAGATTGTTTTGAATAGCCACCAACTTGTGATCATTTGACACACACATTAATTTCGAAAAATAATGATTATATCATTAAACCGTCTTCATTACTGATTAAAATAAAGATTTAAAATGAAAATAGTTAATGATATATAGTCAAAAAGAGCAATTGACCAATGATGTTGGCTGCCATTAATGCCAGTTTTTTCTTTCTAAATATTTTGATAAAAGTTTAATTTTTTAAATAAGCAAACTTTATTAAAAGTTTTATATTTGGTTTGATATTTTTGAACTGTCTTTTTTTTTTTGCTCACTGTTGAATATATGTAAATTTTATTTGAGTTTATCAGCATCTGTCTATAAATAATTTTGTCTTTGTTTCAGATACTATGAAGAAGATGTTTACAGCAAAGACCCCGAAAATGGAGCCATTGGCGAAGACCAGGACAAGATGCTTAAAGTAGCAGGCCTTACCAAGTTTCAGTCGCAGAAGATGAAGATTATTTCATTGAAAATTGGAGATAAATAACATGTAAGTATTTGGTTATTACAATTGTACTTTAAACTATGATAATATTTGTTAGGTATTTAAAATCAGTTTTCTCCTGGAAAAACTGCTTGAAATTTCATTAAAAAAATGGTCCAAAATTTCTTTGTCAAATTTATACTCTTATGGAATATATTTTAATAAGAATGTATTGTAATATTAAATATACTTATACCCCAATTTAGGATTTGACATAAAACATTCATCACATTAATTTCTGAAATAATTATTACAACGAATAGTTGCTTAACATTGACAATTTGGATATATACATATTTATCTGCATTTTTTTTTTAAGTAATTGGGAAAATATGGCTTGATTTAGATTGTTTTCTGTTCAAAATGTACACATCAGATTGTTTTGGTTAACTTAGCCACCATTTTCTGATAATTCGAAGCACACATTAATTTTGGAAATAATTATTATATCATTTAACTGTCTTCTTACTATTTAAAATGAAAATAATGAATGATATATAGTCTAAAAGGGCAACTGACCAATGATGTTCGCTGCCATTAATGCCAGTTTTTTCTTTCTATATTGAAGCTCCAAGGAAGATTAATTATTACATTAATCTTCACCCAAGTCTGAGGCCATGACATGAAAGAAATAACGCAAGTATATTTAAGCCAACCAATTTCTGTACATTATCTAGAAAAATGTGATAAAGTACATAAGGCAACACACATTTTTCTTATTTTGCACATTTACAACACAGAAATAGATAATTTATCAGGTTAACAAATGTTTTCCAGGTACACAAATAAAATTTTATAACGTGAAAAGTAAATCCTGAGATAGAATTTTATCCTTCAAGGGGAGACTAGTACAATAAACAGCAAGAATGTTTCTTTCAGTGGGAGATAACTCACTATTATGCAATTAGAATACAGAATTTAAAAAAAAATTTAGGTTGGCAATTTAACAGATTTGTAAAATATATAATTTGTGTCAATTCTAATTCCTTTTTAGGTTATATTAGTGCCAATGTTTTCATGAATGGGGAGTAAGACTTGGTGGTATAATATTTCTAATATACAAGTAGGTATATAATTCCTCTATTTAAACAAAGGAGAAGGTCTGGTAAGGGTTCGTTTTGGCCTAATAATGAAGTACATCTAATGAAAGATTTTTGACATTTTTTAAACACGCAAGTGTCTACTTCAGTCGATTCAATTAGTGTATGTAAAAGATTTGGACTGATTTGGTCATAAAAGACGCTCAAATAGAGGCTTAAATACGAAAAATCTATCAAATAATCCATAAAATGTCACTTTTCAGATGGTTTTTGTCTAAAATGAAAGTGGCCGCATTCGTGTTCAGTCTCAACCTTTATATATGTTATGTATTATCATCAAATACAACATATATTTAAATATTAAGACAGAACACAAATGCGGCCACTTCAATTTTAAACAAAAACCACCGTAAAATTAGCACAAATGCTAAAATTGTGAAGATTTCAGTAGTATTGCATGAATTTCTGATGTTATTACTTGATGCATGTGCATTGTATTGTCAAAATCAGCCCATATTAATGGAACAGAAGTATTCTTCTTTGCAATAAATAGCTAAAAGTTTACATTTAAACAAATTTGTAAAAATGCTATATTTTGGGGCCAAAAAGGGGTCTTACCAGGCCTACTCCTTTTATTTTTATAAAATAAGTTTAAAGGAAATAAAATGTGCTCAAGGCTTAAAGTTGTAAGAGGTAAATATGTTGTTTTTTTCTTGACTAGATGTTCTAAAGATTTAAATTGGTTACATGGATGTCATTGTAAAGACTTAATTTTTGTATGCAGACTTTGGCAAAACCACGAAATGAAGTACCCACAAAAATACAATTGTTCCTTAATATAAAATAAATTGGTGCCCAAGAAAATAAAGAAATCCACAATAATATGCAAGCAATATAATTGTACTTAAAACTATGTTCATATTTGTTAGGTCATTAAAATCAGTTTTTCCCTGGAAATTTACATATTCATCTGCATTTTTCTATAAGTAATTGGGGAAAATATGACCTGATTTAGATTGGTTGAAATTCAGTTGAATTTTAATCATTTCTGTTCAAGTGTATACATCAGATTGTTTTGAATAGCCACCAACTTGTGATCATTTGACACACACATTAATTTCGAAAAATAATGATTATATCATTAAACCGTCTTCATTACTGATTAAAATAAAGATTTAAAATGAAAATAGTTAATGATATATAGTCAAAAAGAGCAATTGACCAATGATGTTGGCTGCCATTAATGCCAGTTTTTTCTTTCTTAATATTTTGAAAAAAGTTTTATTTTTTAAATAAGCAAACTTTATTAAAAGTTTTATATTTGGTTTGATATTTTTGAACTGTCTTTTTTTTTTTTTGCTCACTGTTGAATATATGTAAATTTTATTTGAGTTTATCAGCATCTGTCTATAAATAATTTTGTTTTTGTTTCAGATACTATGAAGAAGATGTTTACAGCAAAGACCCCGAAAATGGAGCCATTGACGAAGACCAGGAGAAGAAAATTAAAGGGAAGTATATTTCATTTTAATCTTATAAATATGATCTAATTATAATGTTAGTTTTTATTACAGTAGCAGGCCTTACCAAGTTTCAGTCAAAGAACATGAAGATTAGAGATGAGTAGCATGTAAGTATTTGGTTATTATTATTGTACTTAACAAATCTTTACATAGCTTTTTTAGGTAATTAAAATCAGTTTTTCCCTAGGGAAACCGCTGGAAATTTAATTACAAAATGGTCCAAAATTTCTTTTTTCAAATAAGTAATTTGGAAACAATGGCTTGATTTAGATTGTTTGAAGATTCAGTTGAATTTTGATAATTTCTGCTCAAAATTATACATCAGATTGTTTTGGTTAGCAGGAATGATTCTGCTGTATAGTTCAGGGCTGCTTAGGGGCCTAAAATTGTCTGGCGGAGCCCAAAAAAATTTATTAGAACACAAATTCCCAATTCAGGAAAAAAAAAATTTACGTCACTGATTTAGGCAACTATAATTTTTCACAGTTTGTTGTCAAAGCGTTTAAAAATCCGGATAAGAATGCTGTCAACGATCTCATTTTATTAACAATTATTCAATCATGGTAACTTGTGGTTTATTATTTTTTTTCTCAATATCTTTGGTCTCATAAAAGTAGACCTCTCAGATACAATTGACGAAAATGCTATGGGAGTAATTGATCTCGTAAAACCAGATCACCCAGCAGATCATATAAATGATGCTTTTTGTCAGGATGGGCCTCGTAAAAGCAGACCTCGGCAGAGAGCAAATTTTTATTTTTTATATAACATTGATGAATTTAAAGGGCACTGATCTCGTAAATGCAGATCGCCCAGCAAGTCAGGTTATATAATATGTCGGAAACTTGTTTTATGAAAAATCATATTTTATATCTTGTCTGGCTCTATTTCCTCAAGGCAAAAGTCTGACCGTTAAACTTTTAACTGCAGTGTACAGGTAAAACGAAATACATTTTCTGTTTTTCCAGGCAAAAAATGTTATTTCTTCAAAGATTTTATGCATAAAAAAAATCCCCATTGGGATGAAAATTCCCAATTTGATGGTTAATGGACCCATTTGAAAAACACCTGAAATCATCCCTGGTTAGCCACCAACTTCTGATAATTTAACAATGAACTACTACCACTCAAGATCTAATTATAATTTTAGTTTTTATTACAGTAGCAGGCCTTACCAAGTTTCAGTCACAGAACATGAAGATTGTTTCATTGAAGCTTTAAATAATAAAGATTTAAAATGAAAATAGTTAATGATATATAGCCAAAAAGAGCAATTGACCAATGGTGTTGGCTGCCATAAATGCCAGTTTTTTCTTTCTAAATATTTTGAAAAAAGTTTTATTTTTTAAATAAGCAAACTTTATTAAAAGTTTTATATTTGGTTTGATATTTTTGAACTGTCTTTTTTTTTTGCTCACTGTTGAATATATGTAAAATTTTATTTGAGTTTATCAGCATCTGTCTATAAATAATTTTGTTTTTGTTTCAGATACTATGAAGAAGATGTTTACAGCATAGACCCTGAAAATAGAGCCATTGGCGAAGACCAGGACAAGATGCTTAAAGTAGCAGGCCTTACCAAGTTTCAGTCGCAGAAGATGAAGATTATTTCATTGAAAATTGGAGATAAATAACATGTAAGTATTTGGTTATTACAATTGTACTTTAAACTATTATAATATTTGTTAGGTATTTAAAATCAGTTTTCTCCTGGAAAAACTGCTTGAAATTTCATTACAAAATGGTCCAAAATTTCTTTGTCAAATTTATATTCTTATGAAATATATTTTAATAAGAATGTATTGTAATATTAAATATACTTATACCCCAATTTAGGATTTGACATAAAACATGCATCACATTAATTTCTGAAATAATTATTACAACAAATAGTCGCTTAACATTGACAATTTGGATATATACATATTTATCTGCATTTTTTTTTTTTAAGAAATTGGGAAAATATGGCTTGATTTAGATTGTTTTCTGTTCAAAATGTACACATCAGATTGTTTTGGTTAACTTAGCCACCGTTTTCTGATAATTCGAAGCACACATTAATTTTGGAAATAATAATTATATCATTTAACTGTCTTCATTACTATTTAAAATGAAAATAATGAATGATATATAGTCTAAAAGGGCAACTGACCAATGATGTTCGCTGCCATTAATGCCAGTTTTTTCTTTCTATATTGAAGCTCCAAGGAAGATTAATTATTACATTAATCTTCACCCAAGTCTGAGGCCATGACATGAAAGAAATAACGCAAGTATATTTAAGCCAACCAATTTCTGTACATTATCTAGAAAAATGTGATAAAGTACATAAGGCAACACACATTTTTCTTATTTTGCACATTTACAACACAGAAATAGATAATTTATCAGTTTGACAAATGTTTTCCAGGTACACAAATAAAATTTTATAACGTGAAAAGTAAATCCCGAGATAGAATTTTATCCTTCAAGGGGAGACTAGTACAATAAACAGCAAGCATGTTTCTTTCAGTGGGAGAGAACTCACTATTATGCAATCAGAATACAGAATTTAAAAAAAAATTTAGGTTGGAAATTTAACAGATTTGTAAAATATATAATTTGTGTCAATTCTAATTCCTTTTTAGGTTATTTTAGTGCCAAAGTTTTCATGAATGGGGAGTAAGACTTGGTGGTATAATATTTCTAATATACAAGTAGGTATATAATTCGTCTATTTAAACAAAGGAGAAGGTCTGGTAAGGGCTCGTTTTGGCCTAATATTCGAAGTACATCTAATGAAAGATTTTTGACATTCACGCAAGTGTCTACTTCAGTCGATTCAATTAGTGTATGTAAAAGATTTGGACTGATTTGGTCATTAAAGACGCTCAAATAGAGGCTTAAATACGAAAAATCTATCAAATAATCCATAAAATGTCACTTTTCAGATGGTTTTTGTCTAAAATGAAAGTGGCTGCATTTGTGTTCAGTCTCGACCTTTATATTTGTTATGTATTATCATCAAATACAACATATATTTAAATATTAAGATGGAACACAAATGCGGCCACTTCCATTTTAGACAAAAACCACCGTAAAATTAGCACAAATGCTAAAATTGTGAAGATTTCAGTAATATTGCATGAATTTCTGATGTTATTACCCGATGCATGTGCATTGTATTGTCAAAATCAGCCCATATTAATGGAACAGAAGTATTCTTCTTTGCAATAAATAGCTAAAAGTTTACATTTAAACAAATTTGTAAAAATGCTATATTTTGGGGCCAAAAAGGGGTCTTACCAGGCCTACTCCTTTTATTATTATAAAATAAGTTTAAAGGAAATAAAATGTGCTCAAGGCTTAAAGTTGTAAGAGGTAAAATGTTGTTTTTTTCTTGACTAAATGTTCTAAAGATTTGAATTGGTTACATGGATGTCATTGTAAAGACTATTTTTGTTTGCAGACTTTGGCAAAACCACGAAATAAAGTACCCACAAAAATACAATTGTTCCTTAATATAAAATAAATTGGTGCCCAAGAAAATAAAGAAATCCACAATAATATGCAAGCAATATTCCAACACTGATTCTATTTATTTTTTAAGAATTTTTATTGACTAAGCATTTTACTTTTTCAGGCTAGCAATAATTACTGCTTTTCAGTACGGGTTGAGGTTTAGAATGATCATTGGAGCTGACTTTTAAGGTAAGAAAGAACCATTGCATAGATTTATGAACTTGTTGATTACAGATTATGTAAATGCCCTTGAATTTTGTTATGCCTGTGAGTTTTTATGACAGAAGCCTGGCATGTGGTCTCCTGGGGGTCCAAGTGTGAAGTGGGATTGGCCGATTTTTTATAACCTTGACATGGGAAAGGGAAAGTATTGTGCAGGAAACAGTTTGGGAGGAGACATGAAATTACAAGGGTTATTATTACAATGATAAGCGGGATATGGGATTAGACGGAAAGCCTTCATACTTGGTCAAATTGTTTTCCATCATGTGTAGTTGACCATAATATACCACTATTTTGATTCGACTATTATTAAAGAAGTGATGGGATGTTGATTGCAATTTTAAGTATTATGACCATAAAACACCTTCTGAACACCACAACTCTTGAGACTCTTACAGAAAGCTCCCATACGTAATGGGATTGTTTCCCCGTCATGTATAGTTATAAAAATATGGAGATGTGGTATGATTGCCAATGAGACAACTGTCCACCAAAGTTCAAATGAAGTGGATGAAAGCAATTATAGGCAACGGTACGGCTTTCAACAATAAGAAAAATCCCATACCGTATGGTCGCCTAAAAAAGGCCATATACCATTATTTAGACCTGGCCATTTCTATAGGGACTTCGACTATTTATTTTGAGTATTGTAACAGTGTCACCTTATGAATGCAACTCCTAAGACCATTTGACAGAAAGCTCGCAAACTTGATAGGATTGTTTGCCATTGTGAGTTGTTTACAAGAAGAGAAAAGATTTCTGCACAAATGCGGGAAACTGAAAAAGTTAATTATTTTGATTACATTTGTATATTTATTTTTATATTTATTTTTTGTTTTATTGATTTTCCCACTGTTATTGGGGACAAAGTCCTCATATATATGTTTAAAAGATTTGAATTGATTACATAGAAGTCATATTTGTTTGTGTTGTTGGGTTTCGTCACATTGATGTGTTCTCTGCATCGTCTTTTACCTTGATATGTTATATATCACCTATTTCTATATAATGAACATAAGTATAGCAACAAAGATTCTTTTCTAACTATTTTGAATGACTAAGCATTATATATTTCAGGTTAGCATTACAGCTTGTCCTTACAGATTGATGTTGGAAATGGCCATTGGAGTTGAATTTTAAAGGTAAGAAAGAACTATTATATAGATTTATAAACTTTTTTATTTAAGATCTTGTAAATTCCCATGGTTTTTATAATCTTATTACAATTTAATGTTTTCTGGAAGGACATGTCAAGTTTAAGGAAGGGAAAAATGATTATTTTGGAAAGTTTCTCTCCTTTAATTGTAATTCCCAGTTTGCTATTTGTTGCCTATTTCAGTTTCTTAAAATATGACAGAAAATTGAAAAGTGTCTATTTCTTTTTCAGATAACTATTACTGTGGCTGAAGGAAATAATTGTTTGATTAATTCTCCGTATCCTTCAGAGTTGTTGCAAAGGTTATTAACATGTATACAGCTTGGCACTCTACACAAGGCATTGGATTTAACGTCTCCATTCTGACCGGACATGGCTGCGAATTCATACAGAGTCAAATGCACGTTTAATGTCTACAAAACATGCATATAATTGTTGGGATTTATTTCTTATGTATTTTTGTATAAGAGTATTTATTACAAACGTATGATCAGATGTACTACATCCTCTGTTAAATCCAATTTGCTCTTTACAAATGAGTTTTTTCTTCTCAAAAAAAGGCTGTCAGTCTATTTTATTTAATATTCTGTTAAAAAGTTGACCAATAGTGTCACTTATTGTTATACCTCTATAGTTTGAAGGATCATATATTGACCCCTTTTTATGTATAGTTGAAATATTCTCTTTGACCATATTTTAGGATAGATTCCTGCGGAAAAAAATCTATTAAAAGCTTTTAAAAATAGTGGGTTAAAAATTGATTGGCAGTACTTAATTATTTCATTTAGTATCATATTTAATCCACAGGATTTGCCATTCTTTAAAGATTTAATAGCTTTTAGTAGTTCAGACTCTGTAATCTTGAAAGTCTTAATTCATTAAAAATATTAGTTTTTTCTAAATTATTAAGCTCCTGTAGAATTGATTCATTTTCAGCAATTGTATTTTTATTTAGGGATTTAAAATGAAACTCCCAATCTTCCAAACTGATATTTGTTTCCTTTTTATCATTGTTATCTCCTTTTAATTTTTCAACTAATTTCCAATAGGCTTTAGGATTTTCATTTTTAAGATTATCTAGCTTATTAAAGAAATAACTCTTTAACTTACATTTATCTTTTCTCGTTTTTCTGTAATGTTTTAGGCATTTAAAATATGACCCTCTAATGTATTGGTCATTGCTATACTTTTGCAATCGATTGCATTTATGATCTAGTTCTTGTTTTATTTTCTTAAGACTGTAATCATACCATAACTTTTGCTTTCTGTTATTAACTTTCTTTTAATATTTTTTCATAGTTTTCTTCTTTTTTAAGGCTAAGTCGCCTGCAGTTATAATGATTTTATTTAGGTTATCTATCATATATTTTTATGCTTATGAGTTATATTCATGTATGTTGTTTTTAATAATAAAAAATTCCTAAGGCATATAAGTATAACAGGAATTGATTGTCTTCTTGCACACATGTAATACATGTAGGCGTAGGAATTTTAGCACCAAAAATTAGGTTGTAAAGTGAACTGAAATTTGTAAGTATTTTGTGAACATTGTATTTTTTTAAGGATCTTTAAGAGAACAAAGATTTGCATAATTTTGTATTTTTTAAATTAATTTTCATGTAGGTGGAATGGCTATACAAACGTAATCGTATTTCGACTTTTGTACCAAATTTTTTATAGCCGTAGTCCTAATGACAAGATTTCTTTTTTACTTACATATATTCAAACAAAATTATGTTTTCTTTTACTCATTTCCCGGAGTGAGGTCCTACACTTAGAGTTTCGCTGGCATTGACAAAAGGACACAGGTTTCCTAAAATGGGTTTTTCCTGGTTGGCCACGGAACATTGAAATGTAGTTATTCAGTTTTTCAAATGCAAAAGGTTGACATGAGATTATTTTTCTAGTATAAGTTATTAAATTCATATTGTATAATGTAAAGTGTGTAATTTGTCTTATTAAATCGGCAGCTCACAATATGCAGTACTCGAGCTAGTCAAAAAACATAAGTTTGTGTTGTGTATTTCTTTAAGTAGTTAGGTTAAATGTATTTAGTGGAAAGAATCCTATGAATTCAAGATGTCTGGGTTATTGGCAGTATGAATATATAAAAAAAAATCTGGTGTGATTACCAATTAGACAACACTCCACAAGAGACCAAATGACATAGAAATTAACAACTATAGGTCACTGTACGGCCTTTAACAATGAGCAAAACCCATACCGCATAGTCAGCTATAAAATCCCCCGAAATGACAATTGTAAAACAATTCAAACATTTGTTTTGTTGAGCCTATTTATTTGAGGGAAAGAAGTTATGATACTATATATAGTATATAATCAGCTATAGTTAGATGAGGAGATAAGGCGTCTGCGCAATGCTAGGCGGTGTTGTCAGTGTTGTCGTAGAAGTATAAACTGAAAAGTACAGGTTCCAGACCCAGTCGGGGAGGATGTAAAGAATCAGATCTACTCTAACATTGTTAGGTTGATTTTCTAGGCACTTTATATATATATACATGTATATATATATTAAAATATATCAAGGCAATGTCATGGACCATAAAATGCAGGAAAAGTTTGATTTTGATGGTTTTGACATTTACATTGAACAAGAAATGCCATATTTACCGCTAAAATCTGGGTTTCCATGACAATACTGCTTTACCAAATCTGTTGAAATGAACACAGGTCTAGTTTGCTTTTAATATGGTTTTGACATTTACCATTCAAGAGAAATGTGCCCCAAGATACCTTAAAAATTTGGTTTTCTGTTACTGACTATACTGCTGGAGAACAAACACTTGAAAAAAAAAC